ATGGAAAGATATATCAGTCAACTTTAATCATAAACAAGCTGAAATGGGTATAGTTAATATCAGATAAAATGATAAAGGGCCACATCAAAAGACATAAAAAATTATAAATGTGAATGCATGTAATTAAAGGAGATTAAAAAATTATGAAGCAAAACTGACAGAACTAAAGAAAGAAACAAATCTATAATCTTAAAGATTAAAATCTTAACAATTAGACTAAAATTTTAAGAATATAGGAAATATGAAGTATACTATCGCCTTACCTTATTGACAGGTAATGAAATCCACTCAATAACCATACAACATATATTCTTTTTTTTTTTGGTACCAGGGATTTAGCTAAAGGGCACTCAACCAATGAGCCACAGCTCCAACCCTTTAAAAAAAAATGGGGGATGGGTACTGAGGATTGAGCTCAGGGGTACTCGACCACTGAGCCACATTTCCAGCCCTATTTTATATTTTATTTAGAGATAGGGTCTCACTGAGTTGCTTCGTGCCTCTCTCTTGCTGAGGCTGGCTTTGAACTTGCGATCCTCTTGAATCAGCTTCCCGAATTGGTAGGATTACAGGCATGGGCCACCATGTCCAGCACAACATATATTCTTTATACATGGAAAAAAAAAAAAGGCTACAACATAGTTTAAGCTATGACTAAAATAATCTCATATTTCATAACTGATATCTTACAGAGGCTATTATACACTTAAATTAGAAACCATTAACAATAAGAACTGAATATTTATAAATTATACATTTTAAACAATTATAATAATTCATGATCAAAAAAGAAATTGCCAAGGGAAATAAACATTTAAATAAATGATAATTAAAATACAATTATAATTAAAATACAAAGTGTCAAAATCTGTGGGAAGGAATTAAAGATGTACATAGAAATTTCTTAATTTGGTATGTGTGTGTCTGTGTGTGAACCCAGGGCCTGGTGCACACTAGGCAAGCAATCTATCACTGCCAGTATTTCTATCTTTGAATGTTTACATTAACCTGAAGAACCTAAAAACCGGGGCTGGGGTTGTAGCTCAGTGATTGAGCACTTGCCTTGCATTTACAGGCACTGGGTTTGAAAAGGAAGGAAGGAAGGAAAGGAAGGAGAGGGGAGGGGAGGGGAGGGGAGGGGAGGGAAGAGAGAAAGAAAGGTAGATAGATATTGTGTCCATCTACAACTAAAACAAATTTTTAAAAAGAACCTAAAAAAAAATGACCTAAATTTTCCCCCTTGCAATGTGAGCAAAGTAAATACACAATAAGTAGAAAGAGGAAATAATAAGTCAGGCACAGTATGTACAACTGTAATCCCTGCTATTTGGGAGACTGAGGCAGGAGGATCACAATTTTAAGGCCAGCGTGGGCTATTTGCAATAATAAATAAGACTGGGGGTATAGCTCAGTGAGAGAGAGCTTCCTTAACATGCAGAAGGTCCTGGAATCAACTGTCAGTGCTACCAAAAACAAACAAACAAAAAAATCAAATAAAACAAATAACAAAAACTATACAAAGTAAACCCCAGTTGGGCACAGTGGCACATGCCTGCAATTCCAGGGACTTCGAGGCAGGAGGACTGCAAATTTTCCAGCCTCAGTAATTTAATCAGACACTCTCTCAAAATAAATAAGGACTGGAAGCCAGGCATGGTGGTGCAGCCTGTAACCCCAGCAGCTGAGGTGGTTGAGGTAGGAGGATCATGAGTTCAAAGTCAGTCTCAGCAAAGGTGAGGTGCTAAGCAACTTTAGTGAGACCCTGTCTCTAAATAAATAAAAATACAAAATAGGGCTGGAGATATGGCTCAGTGGTCAAGTACCCCTGAGTTCAATTCCCAGTACCAAAAAAATTAAAAAGGACTAGAGATGTAGCTCAGTGGTAGAATGCCTGCTTAGCATATACTAGGCCCTGGGTTCAATCCCTAGTACCACAGAAAATAAATAAAAATAAAAAATCAATTTGAGAATGAATCATAGCCCCAAAAGTTTCTACAAAATAGGAGAATGTCTTTATGACCTGGTGGGTAAGCAAAAACTTCTCGGAAGAAACCTCTGTTGGTAAGGATATGCAGCAATCATAATGCTTAATACACTGCTGATGGGAATGTAAAATGGTACAGAACTTGGAGAAAGATTTGGTAGTTTTCTTTTTTTTTGGACACAATACCTTTTATTTGTCTACTTATTTATTTTTTTATGTGGTGCTGAGGATGCAACACAGTGCCTCATACGTGCTAGGCAATCATGCTACCACTGAGCCACAACCCCAGCCCCAGATTTGGTAATTTTCTATAAGATTAAATATTCACCTACCTTCTGACCTAGCATATGTACTCCTAAGTATTTACAAAATGAAATAAAAACACATCTAATAAAACCCTTATACAATGATGTATTTTTTCTACAATACCACAAAACTGAAAATAATTGAGACCAAGCAAAAACAGATTATGATTTGGGCATTCAGGGGAATACTTAACAATAAAAAGGATGGAATTACTAACATAAAAAAAACATGAATCTCATAGAAATAGTTGTGAGCAGGAGCCAGACACAGAGATCATAAAATTCTACCCTTATAAACAAAGTTCTAGAACTGGAAAAACAAACCTGCTGTTTAAAAAAAAAAATTAGAACAGTAGTTGCCTATGGTGGATGGGAAAGACATAACTGGCACAGGACAGGTGGGAACTTTATGGAGTGATGGAAAAGTTCTATATTGTGATAGGTTATGAATTTTACATGGATGCATGTGGCACTGCAATACATGTAAATTTTACCGAAAAGAAAAAAAAAGAAAACCTTTTATAATAACATTAAGTCAAGTGGGGTGATTGGGAATAACTGGAAGTATATGAAACAAGAATGGCAGAATATTGATAAGTAGTGACTAGACCCACAGGGGTTTACCATATTATTCTGGTTTTAATATATATAATAAAAAGTAAAAATGTGTACGTTTTGGTTGACAGCAGGTTAAATAAGTCAAAGTGTTCTGTATTTTATCACTACCATCACAGACACACACACACACACACACACACACACACACACAGGTTGCAAGTGAATGCCTGTAGGATGTAACAGAAGTGTAGTCACTAGCATGAATACAATGAATTATGATGAATAGTTCTCACCTTAACTTTTTGTCCAGGTTAAAGCAAGGAGAATGATGAGGACAACATGCTATTATATATTCTATGAAAAACTAGGGAAACTAATTAGAAATGAGGACACTTGAGAACTTAATAGACTGCTTTTAATATATGAAGCACTATCACTATTAACCTTGTTCAGTCAAGAGGCAGGAATAGAAATATTGGGAAGTATCAAGAAGTTTTCAGCTCTATAAAAAGGACTTTAACAATGATCACCTCCAAAAAACAAAGGGGCTACCTCTAGAAATAAAAAATTACCCTATTGGTGGAAATGTTAAATACAAATTGGAGGGTGTGGGATTATGGCTCAGTGGTAGAATGTCAGTCTAGCATGAGTGAGGCCCTGAGTTTGATCCCCAGCATCACGCATCACTCACACACAGACACAAACAAGCACCACCATCACCAATAAACAACCTCCCTCCTCCCAAAAAACAAACAAACAAATGAAAACCAGGTTGGAGATCTGTACACTCCCAATGGCCAGAAAAAGAAAACAGCTACCAAGGTTCTTTCTACCAAAAAGGTTTTGTGGTTGTTTGAACTACTTTCTCTCATTTTAACCCAGATTCAAAGAGGAAGTGCAGGGCTCTGTGGAATTTTTTAAAGAAATGAATTCAGCCAAAATGCAGTGTCATGATAAAAGTTATAATATGTAGTACAGCTACAAAACTTCAACTCAGTTACAATCAGTATGCCTAACATTTTTGGAAACTGCCACTAAAATGAGTGAGCTTAGCTATCTGGGTTAAAATGAAAAAAGAATTCTAGGTGAATCTAAGCCAATCACAACATGCAGCCCTGCCTTAAGTACTGTTCCTCCTTTTCTCAATTCTGATTACTAATAGTTGAAAGAGGTGGGGCATGCCTGTAATCCCAGTGACTCTGGAGGCTGAAGCAGAAGGATTGGCAAATTCAAGAAATGCCTAGGCAATTCAGCAAGACCCTGCCTCAAAATAAAAAGGGCTAAGGATGTAGCTCGGTGGTAGAGTGTTTTTGGATTAAATTCCCAGTACTGCAGGGGAGGGGGAGGGGGATGATTGTGGTCCACCTCTGAGCTAAGTACTGTGAAGGAATCAAAGTATATCATACAAACCTTATTCAAGGAATGTTACAATTTAACTACAAAACATGACATGCCTGAAAACATAAGCCATTACCACAGAACAGTACTTGGTTAAATGCCTGAAGGGAGACTTGAACTGAAGCTGAAAGGATTTAAACAAGCAAAAAACCAAACCAAATCAAAACAAAACAACAACAAAAAACGACTGGGTGGGAAGAAGGCAGGCAGGCACTTGCAGGATGGGAGAACAGGATTAAAGCAAGCAAAGTAATGAAATAACTTGAAAATAAACCTTCATTTTTGTTTTCAGAAAACCCTTAACATCTCTCCAATGCCTTTGTCTGGCTCTCCTACCAATTTCTCCCCAAATCTTTAGATACTGGTTCCCAAAGTGTGGACCTTGGACAAGCAGTATCATCCATTTGGAAACTAAATTGCCAATTCTGAGGACTCATGTCAGACCTACTGAGTCAGAAAGGGAGACGGGGCAGCAATCTTCGTTTTTTAACAAGTGCTTCAGATACACACTCAATGTGAAAACCACTGCTATGGTATTACCACCTAAGCACGGAAATGTGATGCTGCTAAGTGCCTAACTCGGCCACTTTGCAGGGTGTCGGAAGCTAATAACAGTCCCAGCCCTGTAAGCGCTGTCTCTGTCCCAATTTCGCCTTCTCTTCCAAAACACCCCCTCGGAATCATTACCCTCTACTGTGACTCTCCCTCATCACTTTACTATCACCCGGCCAGCTCCCGCCCTTCCTTTGCCCTACCTCAGTGTCAGAGGGGACGTGGTGCCGGCAGGGCGGCGAGGTGCCCACGGAGATGGGAATAGACATGGTGCTTGCCGGCAGGCCGCCTAACAGTAGTAAAACGCCTCGGACGCACAAAGAAGCACTCCAGCGCCACCGGTTAGGAGACGGGCCCGACCCGGAGTAACACACTCCTCCACCCCACTCGGCCGCCATCTTCGGCAGAGCGTCGTTACCATGGAGTGCGTGACGCCTCCGTGCCCGCGACCAGCCCGAGAAAAGGAAAGAAAAGCAGTTTTTCGATTGGCTAGTGTCATCTACAAGACGATAGCAGGTCGTGTCCATCGCGTCTCATTGCACAGGGCCAGCCAATAAATGGTATTTAACGGCTCACGTGGGCTGCGCAGTGGGAACCGGAAAGGCTAGCGGTGGTGGGCGGGTGGTGTAGTACGTAGGTGTCCTTACCAAGGTGGTTTTTCGCTCCTTTTAATTCATGATTTGCCATAACTAGATGCCAGTTCTCAAATGGACACATGTACAACTGCAAAATATTTTATAATGTACTCCTGTGTGAAAAGTGTGAAGAACACTTTTGTCACCAATTTTAGTCCCATTTATCAAGTAACGTCATTTCCTACAAAATCAGTTATGTTCTTTACTGTTTTACTGAACTCTATACCTTTTTTGTTTTTTAATACCAGCGTTTGAACCCAGGGGCGCTTAACCACTGAGCCACACCTCCCGCCCTTTTTGTATTTTATTTAGAGACAGTCTCCCTGAGTTGCTCAGGGCCTGCCAAATTGCTAAGGCTGGCTTTGAACTGGCGATCCTCTTGCCTCAGCCTCCCCAGCTGCTGGGATTAACAGGTGTGTGCAACCGCACCTGGCTAACCAAGAATTAAGATATTGGTGGACACTGGCCATTTGTGGAAACTACCTTAAAAACTGAGAAATGTTACTCTTCCTGTGGTCCATGAAAGCAAAGAACTAAAAGCAGAAACTGGAAAGGGTGGAGCTGTAGCTCAGTGGTAAAGCACTTCAGTAGAATGTGTGAAGCTAAATCCAATAATCCCCAGCAAAACATCAGGAACTGAAAACAGCTTAAATATTACTCCACAGAAACTGAATATTGTAAATTATTAGGAAATGTCGTTGTCAGAAATAAAACCTTCAATTTACAATGTTAGTTGAGATGGTGTACTCAAAAGAAGGGTGTGATCGTGCTATATTACCATTTTACAGGTAGAGTCATTATTTACTGGTATACTAAATCAAATTTTTTCAAAACATGATTTTTCCACTGCTAAAAGCACAAACAATTCAGTTGGTAGAGTGCTTGCTTCACATGCACAAGGCCATGGGTTCAATCCTCAGCACACAAAAAAAGTACAACCAATGTAATATTAAGGCTTCCTGTACCATGATGGATAAAAGGCTTTTGATTGCATAGTGGACATATTCTAGTATTAGAAAGCCCATTTTTGTGAACTATGCAAACCCTCCAGTGGCAGATTTGGCCAGAGTATCTTTTAACTTGAGTAGGGTGGTACAGGAAGACAATGCACTTTCACAATGGTTGCATCGTGTTCATAAAGAACACATATTTGCTCTACCAGCACATGTGAAACCCAGGGTTTGATCCTCAGCACCACATATAAAGGTATTGTGTACAACTAAAAAGTAAAGAAATATTTAAAAACACACACACATTTGCACATGCAGCTCATTTGCCACTGCATACTCAGGTTACCTAAGGATGCTGTCATGTCAGTTCTTTTCCTGGATTTCTCAAAAAGCCCATTTATCCACCTTCAACCCTCTTATTATTGTTCAGACCAGTCTTCTGCTCCCAGTTATGGAGACCTCTGCTCCCTTTTCCCCTGTGCCTAACCAGACCTGAAACCTCCATTTGCCTTCCAGGATGCCACAAGTTAGTATCCTACATGGTCCTCAAAAAAAATTTAATACTTTTAATTGTTGACAGACCTTTATTTATATGAGATGCTGAGAATCAAACCCAGTGCCTCACAGATGCCAGGCAAATGCACTAACCCTGAGTGACAACTCCAGCCCCTCAAATTCTTTTTTTGGTGGTCCTGGGGATTGAATCCAGGGACTTACACTAGCATGGAGCCACATACCTCCCAGCCCACTTTGTCAAACTTTTGCTACCACTACAAAACCACCTCCTGCTCTCCTAGCTCTGTAAACATGTCATTATCCATTCAGCCACCAAAGCCAAGACCTATTATCTTTTAAGCCTCCATTCCTAATATTTAGGGGATCTGCTCTATTCTGGTTATCAAAAACCAGTTAAGACTGCAAAGCCTGATTTTTCTCCCCCATTCCAGTTATCCCTTTTCTAGGACACAAGATCTTTCATAACATGGCAGCTTTTAGCTTTAAAGACTCCCTATCACTGCCCCAACAGGCTTATTAGCCACACTAAATAACCCAATTTGAATGGCTCAAATGCCTCAAGATCTTTGTGCCATCGCCACCACCTTGTTTCCTTCATTTTATATAAGCCATTTTATTTATATGCCTCTATCCCTGAGTACTGAAATACCGATCGTATCTACCTGGCTTTTTGGAAAACAATTGGGAGTTGGTTCACGACCAGATACCTTTCTTGCTCTTGAACCCAAACTTTCCAAGTTCAATTTCCTTAAAGTTCTAGTAATCAAATTCTAGTTGTCCATTAAATGCACAGCTCTGGCAAAGGCTGCTACTCCAATGCATTGCTTTTGCCTTGAGGCCACACTCCCAATGAATGAAACTGACAAGATTATAAATCCCAATCATTTACAAGAAACTGGGCTCCTTCGATGGCAACTTGAGCATTAGTATACAACTACTGACTACTGCATCAATCAGAATTCTACAACCATACTGCAAAATGATTTATCGCATAATTTTAAGCACATCTTTGAAATCTAAAATATTCTTTAAATTTAAAATATTCTGAAGCCCTGCTTATTTTCCTGGTTTGCTAAATTACTTCAGAATCACATACCATTTAGGTTGACATTTTCAGCTTGGATTACACCACTAGTCAAAGTATATACTGTAACCCTTTGGTCACAAGTCACAAGAATAGTTCATCCCAGGCCACGTGAAAGCGCTAATAAATATCAATGTAATTTCTACTGAAATTATTCCCAATTCCATTTTCACTCATAAGCTTCCCAACCAATCTATACTGAACTAGTAAAAGCTATTAAAAAACTTTTTTGGGGTGGGTAATACTAGGGATGAAACAGTCTGATGCACTCTACCACTGAGCTACATCCCCAGACCTTTTAAGAGATAATTTTATGCTTCTTTCACTTCCCACTTTCCCCAAAGCATATTTATTTCCTCCAAAATGCCCATTAAGGTATATATGTTAACCTGTTACTTTCTAAATCCCTGTAACTGCCTCATACTGTCCATTGTATATAGCACTGATTTCCTTTTATTTGAAGATACTGAAAAACCTCCATCATTTTAAGCATATATATAGCGAAATCAATTGAAGACAGTTAAGTTTTTTGAGCCACTGAACAAAAAAATATAAGAACACAAATCCATCTTTATTTTCCATTAGTTTAAATCCTTGAGGGGTACAGCATCTAGGGGGAAAAAAAGAACATTAGGTGAATGTTATATACAAATTTATAAATGTTACTGATTGCCATAACATGAATTAATCTCTTATGATCCCACTTTTATCTGAAATTTTTTTCCTATACTACAGATTGAACCTAGGGCCTCACGTATGCTAAATAAGCACTCAACTACTGGGCTACACCCCTAGCCTCCTTAGTCATCTCTGAAAGGTATTCAATGACATATTCTGGTGGTTCCTGAGAACCAAGTTGTGTAGCATTCAGTTTATAGGAGAATATGCTTAAGAACCTACTCTTAAAAAAAGAAGTACTGGGGCTTGGGGTATAGCTCTATGATTGAAGGCTTGCCTAGCATTCACAAGGCCCTTGGTTCTATCCTCAATACCAAAAATTAAAATAATTTAAAAAGTATTGGGAGAATATATAATTTTGCTTCTTAGAGTAAGAATCCTCTGACGAGAAAGCTCAAATGCTCAGCAAGGCTCTACAGTATCCCTATGACCCCAAGATTATGGTCAACTAAAAATGGATCCTAATAAAGAAAAAGCAGGAGTTATTTGAGGAAAAAAAGTCTCAGGATCTGGAGTCTAAGATTAAACCAACACTCTGAGTCCTCAGAATGTTTTCTTCATGTACAAAACAAAGTTGATTAACATCTAAAGGCTGAACAAAGATGCTTATAATCCCAGAGATGAGGAGGCTGAAGCTCACAAGTTTATTGCCCAGGCAATTTGGCAAGACCCTGCCTTAAGATAAAAATAGAAAGGGTTGGGATATAGCTCAGTTTTGAGTGCCCGTGGGTTCAATCTCCAGTACTAAAAAAAAAGAAAGAAAGAAATTATTTTCCCTCAAGTAGCTTTGGCAAAACTGAAATTTAGGCACAAATTTTCTGTTTTTGTACTGAGGCTTATTATTAACCCAGGGGTGCTTTATGGCTGAGCTATACCCCCAGCCTTTTAGTTTTTTATTTACTGAGGACAGTCTTGAACTTGTGATCCTCCTGCTTTTGGAGTCACTGGAATTACAGACATGTGCCGCCATGCACAGCTAGGCACAGTTTGAACACTTTGCCATCACCTTCCTATAAGATGCCAAATCAGATGTTATGTAATACTCAGTATCTACACTATAGTCACTGATTTGGGCACAATTTACTGGCTTCATTTTACACTCAAAAAAATCCTTAGAAGTTACAGCTCAACCTCTTGAGCTTAGTTTGTCTCAAAAGAGGGCTGTTTTGCTAAAAATTTCTACTTACCACACGGATTCTGTGTCCAATGGCCTTAGCAGGAAGGTTGCTTCGGAATTTGGCCCGAACCATGCCACTATTTCCATGGGCACGAGTTACCTTTCCCCAGATTACTCTGGTTTTGTTTGGTTTGCCACCAGGAGTCACAGTGTTGCTGATTTTAAAAGGGAATAAAAAAAGAAGGAGAACTCACATAAACAATATAGTCTCATACAAGTTCATGGTTACTAACCTCTAGTACCTCTCAAACTTGGTTACCCACTGAGTATGTCTGGAACACTTTTAATTCCACAGATAAAATAACTATTGTATACCAGGCACCTTTATCAGGGGATGACCATGGCAAAGAGAAGGAACAGCGTATGCTAAAGAACTGAAGGGGGGCTGGGGAGATAGTTCAGTGGAAGAGTGCTTAGTTTGCATTCACAAGGTCCTGATTTCAATCCCTAGCACCCCTACTCATCGCAGGTGCACACACACAACCCCCACACCAAAAATCTTAAGTAATAACCCCAAGTTAGGGAGATTGTAGGTACAAAGTGGTGAGCCCTAGCTGGGATAAGAGCAAAAATGTGGAGTCCTCAATGCACAGGTTCTTAAGAGGCTCCTCATTGAGACTTTAGCTTTTTTTTGTTTACTGAATGAAATGACCCACTGGGGTTTATAACCTACATGTGATGGAACTAGAAATTTTAAAGGAATACTCTTGACTAAACAGGAAAAGGAGGCCAGAGATTTTAACTGGTCTGGAGTGGGCTAAAAACCCCAGGATTAAGTTAGGCCTGGTGGCACACTCCTGTAATCCCTGTGATTGGGAAGGCTGAGGCAAGAGAACAGCAAATTCAAAACCAGCTCAAGCAACTCAGGAAGACCCTATCTCCAAATAAAATGAAAGGGCTGGGGATCATGAACTGAAATTGGAATTCCATGAACCAACGCATGAATCTGCGGGGATGAAACCAACTACATGTGTTAAGTTAAAAATCTCAAAAAAGGGGAAGGGTATGGCTCAGTAGTAGAGTGCCCCTGAGTTCAATCCCCAGTACACCACCACCCCCACAAGCCTAGTATTAAAAACACGTTTCGGCTGGGGGTACAGCTAGGGGCTTGTGAAAAACCCTGGTTCAATCCCCCCACACACACAAAACAATGTTCTGGAAATATAACATCTAAAAGCATACATGAAAAATATCTTAAAGAACAAAATTAACTAAGGTACGTGAAAAAAGCATTACATAAACCATTAAGAATAAATAGCTGCTTCTTGAAACTTCTTGAGTGACAGCTGTGATTTTTCCCAGTGCAACACTACCCACAATAGGTTAAAAAAAAATAAACAAAAAAACAAAACCTCCTGTAACTTCCCATGAAATTCCTTAAAAGGATCAAAGCAGAAGCCACAGCGGTACCAATTACTTTACCAACATTATTTATCTTTTCAATAGAAAAGTAAGGCAGAGTAAAAAGTAAAAATTCCAAGGCACATAGTAGTATAAACTTACTTTTTTGCTTTGTACACATAAGCACATCTTTTGCCCAAATAGAACTCGGTTTCATCTCTGGCATAAACACCTTCAATTTTTAGAAGAGCTGTGTGCTCCCTTTGGTTCCGGAGACCCCGCTTATAGCCAGCAAAAATGGCTTTGCACCACAACCTAAGAAACACACGATACATGTTATGTTAAATGTAACTTTAAAATATCTCGGTTGTCTTCCTAAACCATCAAGATGATTTGACTTGTGAGGGCCCCCATCTGAAAGTTACTCATAGCAAACACCAAAATTTTAACCAGCATATAGATTTACCTCTAAGAGTGGCGTGGGGAGAGAAAAAAAATATATATTTAAGAAGCATACCTTCCAGACATATCTGCCTTTTAGAAGTCCTGTTCCCAGCAGGCCTTAAAACAAACAAAACTAAGTTTAAAACCATGCAACACAAGTTTCTCACCTGTCATTTTTCTTAAGCCTCTCAGGCAAATTCCTTTTTGACCCGTTTCATGCGAATATGGGGAAGCGTAATTCACCTACATGAAGCGCAGAGCTTGGCGAAACATTCAAACCTCAGAGAATGAATGATACCTAAGCAAACTCCAAAATGAAGACAGTAACTAAAGTAACTAAGAAGCAAAACCACACACTGAAGAACGCCTAAAAGCCGCAATCGGAAGCCCTGAGCAAACTCATGCCGCTATCAGTAACAGATAAAATTCACTGAAAAATGAAGATTTACGTACGAAGCTGGCGGTAAAACACACAGAAGACATGCTCTGGCTTAGAGAAAAGTTGAGGTTGTAAACATGCAAAAGTATGGAATGGGAGCAAATGAAAAAAAAAAAAGGGCAACTTAAAGGAACCACTGCTTCACAAGCAACTGCATAAGGAGTGACAATTTTACCCCGCTTGGGCCCCCAAATCCCCTAAAATTACCACAGCGCTCATTCACCAGGTGTTAGGAGCCCAGCACAATCAGCCCCTCATCTCCGCCATCCCGTCCTCCTTCTTCCCGGAATCCACAGAAATCACTGGCAAGCAGAGTCTCCGAACCGAATCGGTGCCTCGCCACGGTATATGGGTAAACCCAACCCAGTTATTTGCCTCCAAAGCTCAGCAGCGAGGGGTTTACTCACCTCCACAGGCACCAAGATGGCGGAAAAAGGAAGGCGAGGCCCCGTCGCATGGCCTTCTGGGATAAACATTTCTCAGCCCCGCCCCTAATTTAGGCATCCTCCGCGACCGCCAGAAAAACTAGTCCTAAGAAATCATCTTCGGACTGAAAAAAGTTACTTTCAGGAGCACTCATATAAATTTTCCCTAAGTCTTTTCATCTTTGCAAGCTACAACCTGTAGTGTTTGAGAACAGAGAGAGGCAAAATTGTTAGCCAGCTAAAGGAGGAGCGAAAACGGTCTCCTCCCATCTATGTTGCCATAGCAACATCTTAGCTTGTTTCCGAAGGCGAGAGGTGCTGCAGGTAAAGCTGGACCGGGGAACGTCTGTACCCGCCTTAGATATCACACTTTTGATTCTCAAACACAAGGAATATCTTTCCCTCCTCTCTCCGAGAAGTAGGACGAAGGGAGACCTACGGATCCTACCCTAGACTTGAAGAGAAAGGCTGGGAGCCGGAAGGCAGGATGAGCAATTCCTTCCCTATTTCCCCGCAACCCACCTTCCTTTCCCTCTACTCCTTTCACTTTTAAATGAAACGACTTAAAAGCTGGGCGTAGTGGCCCAGTCCTGTGGTTCCAGCTACCCGGAATGCTGAGGCGGGAAGATCGCTTGAGCCCGCGAGTTCGAGACCAGCCTGGGCCACATCGTGAGACATCCCCCGCCCGCCCATCCCAAATAACGAGAGAAATGCCTTTAAAAATGTTATCGCCCTCCTTCGCTTTTATTCGGAGGAAGAGCTTGTATGTCCAGCGAAGGCCTTACCGCCTCCTTAGGATAATTCTTTGAGCTGACAAACTCGGGGCGCCCGCGTCCTGCCATGCTTAATAGGTCTCATAAATACTTGAAGATTAGAATGAGATGGATTGGAGGAGTCAGAGGTTTACATTTCCTAATTATTGCGCATTTTCTTGAGTAGCCCTATAGATTAATTTATTCAACAACTAGTTTATTGAATGGCTACCAAGGATCGAGAATTGTAGACTTTGAGGACGCTGCGATAAACAAAAATCTGTTCTCATGGAGCTTACATCATACTGTGGGGAGCAAGAAAACGAGCAAGTAAAATATATGGTATATTAGAAAGTGATAACTTTTGTGGAGAAAAATTAAAAGGTTTTTTTTTTCTTCTCTGACATTGGAAGCCATTTGAAGGTTCTGAACTAAAGAGTGACTAGGTCTGATGGGTTCACTGTGTTGAGACTGAAGAGAAGCAGGGGAAGCAGCAGGAAGATCTGTTAGGAGGCTACTCTAATGGTCCTGTTGAGAGATGATGGACATTCAGTACAGGTGATTAGTCCTGAAATTCTGAATATTTTAAATGTATTGCTGATACATAATTAATGAGAGAGAGGAGTAAAGGACAACTCCAACATTTTAGGAAATAAATGTATGTCACATTTAAAGTCAGATACCCTATTAAATACAACAGGATAGGGTTATGTTCCTTGTAACCCACTATCCCATCCAGTTTTCTCTGTCCCAGAAATATACTAGAAATTCTGCTACTTAAGAGATTCATTATTCAGCAGCACATATTCTAAAATTAGAATGGTGCAGAGAAGATTTAGCATGGCCCCTGCGCAAGGATGACACACAAATTTTTGTGAGGCATTCCACACTTGCAAAGTACTTAGAAGTTTATTTGACAATAGCATATTCCTTTTGAGAAAATAGACTTCAAGGTACAATGGATAGCACCCAATATTAAAATTGTGACTTTTATGCAAAAATATTTGTGTAATCTATGAAATGAGAACTGGGTGAAGTTACACGTGAAATGCTGTGTGCAAATATGTCATTAGTGTGTACCTCAGATTTGAGAACGTGCCAGCATGCTTTTCCTCTTCATTTAACTTAGAAAAGAAAGATTCATTCCTGAAGGTATTAAATACTTATTGTGCACCGTACCTGTGCTTACAATACAATAGTGAGATTTATTGTTATGGTTCCTGCTCTCATGAAACCTAACAGACTATTGGGTAAAATTGACATAAACATTACAAATTGTAAGGAGAGCTTTGCAGAGTTCTATGATTACTTGAATAGAGGAAGCATGATCCATCTTTTTGGGTCAGGGAAAGAAACACCTAGAGAAGTGACATCTAAGGCATTTTTCAAACTGCAGGTGATGATGCATTAGTAGATCATGATCATACTTTTTAAATTAAAATGTAAAACAATAAAACAAAGTGTCACATGTTGTTTTATGAAACTTCTTTCAGTGTGTTAAATACAACACTGTGTGTGTGTGTGTGTGTGTGTGTGTGTGTATCTGGCATGGTAAGAGTTTAGTGAAGTACCTTACAAACATATAGGCAAGAATAAAATTAAAAGAGATAATGCAGTTTCCAGGCACAGGGAAAGAAGTTGTTACCTAAGCCGGGCGTGGGGTGAGTGTTTGAAGAGGATTGCCCGTCAGGAGCCATGACCTTCAATAGAGAAACAGCCAACCAAAGATAATATGTCAGGGAGGGAGCTGGGAAGAAAAATAACTTGACATGACTCTCCTGCACCTGGATCTCTTTCTGGACTCTCTCATTGATGGATTCCATATGAATCAGTCTTAAGAGCACAGAAAATGATGGAGATTGGATTTATAGATGTAAATAGTAGGTATCTCAAAAACTGCTACTGTTTTAAGTTGGTACCTATTGGGTCAGTAGGATTTTACTAGGTGAAGAGATGAAAAGAATGAAGGAATAGCATGTGCAAATACCCTGAGTTGGAAGAGAGCAAGATTCCATAGAATTGAAAGAAATCTTTCAGGCTAAAGACAAGAGCAAGAAAACAGCATTGCCAGATGGGTCTGGATCATGCAGACTTATGGGCCAAGTTAAGAATTTTGGTCCTTGTTCTAAGATATGGGAAAACATGGAAGAGTTCTAAGGAGAGATATGTTTGTGTTTTCAATTTTTAAAATATCCTTTTACTAGGCCTGTCTGTGAACACCTGTAATCTCAGCTACTTGGGAGGTTGAGGCAGGAAGATCACAAATCTGGGGCTAGCCTCTGCAACTTAGCAAGATGCTATCTCAAAATAAAAAATAAAAAGGTCTGGGATGTAGCTTAGTGGTAGAAGGCTTACCTGGCATGTGTAAGCACCCAAGTTCATTCCCCAGTACTGCAAAAAGGAGGAAGAACAGGAAGAGAGAAGAAAAGGAGTGCATATATCTTCAGGTTTTGTAGAATAATAATTAAGTTGACTACTTGTTAGACCTGTACCCCATAACATCAGTTTTTCTTTTAGACCAGGGACTGCTCTACTAAGCAAGTGAGGGGATAAAGCACAGCTCTTATAATTTTTTAATTTTCTCTTAAAGGGCACATAAATACTGAAACATCATTCAGTACTCCCTTAAACTAATCTCAATGTTTCCTTCTCATTCTAGTTGACTGCCTTTTTGTGAGATTATTAAATACATTGTGGAGGATAACAAAACTAAAGAAGAATGGAAGAGTATGTTCAAAATTCTAATTCATTCTGTGTGTGTTTTTTTTAGTTATGCTTTATGGTAAATTTTTGTGTATTATTTATGTATTGCTGTTTAACAAATTGCCCTAAAACTTAGTGATTTAAAAATGTAAACATTTATTATTTTACATAGTATCTATGGGTCAAGAGTTTGGTAACCGCTTGGAGGGATGGTCCTGTTTTGGGTCTCTCATAAAGTTGAAGTGCACTAGGCCTGCAGTTACTTGAAGACTTAGTGGTGTGGGCTAGAGGATCCACTTCCAAGATGGTGCCTTGGCTGTCAAGTTGATGCTTCTGATGGCAAGAGGCCTTTAGTTCTCACTCTCATGAATGTCTGCACAAGGCTGATCAAGTGTCCTCATGACACAGCAACTCACTTCCCTCAGAGTAAGAGATATGAGAGAGTAAGGTAGAAACTATAATGTCTTCTATCACCTAACTTTGGAAGTCACACTCTTGTTATTTTCACAATATCCTTTTTGCCACATAGGTTAGTTCTACTCACTATCAGGGAAACTATGCAAGGCTATAAATGCCAGAAAGTGAGAACTATTTGGGCCACTTTGGAGGCTGTTTACCACATTCTGTTTTTCTCTAATCATGAGAAAATTTTGGTTAGCATTTAAAAATGATGTTTGAAAATAAAGCTGATTTTGTCTCAAATTTAAATTGGTTAAGCATAGCCAAATAGCAGGGGCTATATGTCTTTATTAAACAATATTTTTTGTCCTTGTTTCATCAAAGTGGAAGGTATTTAGCAAAATCCCAAGTAAATGCCTACTTAAAAAAAAAATCTAAGTTATATGACAATAAAAACTTCACAGGAGCAGATCTACATGCTGCCTATGCTTTTGAATCTAAGTAATATTTAGACATTGGTCATTAACTTCTTTTTTCCTTATTCTTTCTTTAGAGATAGGCTGGAAGACTTACCTCTTTCTCCAAAAGTTTGGAATCCTGAGGTAACCGTGTTGGTGACAGGCCAACCACCTAGTGCCGTAGAAGAAGAAGAGGAAGAATCAACTAATGTAGTAGATACAGAAGTTATCCCAGAAATCGGAGAGCCACTTTCCCTTCTAGAGATGCTGAGACTCTCTGCAGTTCTGGAGGATACCCTTGACCAACTTTCTATTCTAAACTATATCATGCCAGTTCACTATGAAAGAAAACAAAGCACTAGCATGGTAATTAAACTCTCCATTATTTAATTTTGCTTTCTTTCCTTTTTATCTATCATTTATAGTACATTTAACTTGGGGAACATCTTTATCTCAGATAAAGGGCTATCATAATTATCTGAGACATGTATTCTCAATTGATGGGATGAAATTGTGATAGCTCAAGGTACATGATGAGGCAGAATATCTCTTTCCAATATATTGGTATTATTTCAAAAGGTGTATGGTTAAGTCACTGTAAATATAGAACAGTC